GGAGGGAGGCGGAGAGACACTCAAGAGTGTGGTGGAAATTGGAAGCGGGTGCTGGAGGAGGGAGGGGGTTGTGTGGTACGCTCATTCTTAGCTAAGGCTGTTTCCATGGCTAGAAGATGAACAGATATTTGTAGCAGACAGAACAACTCTCCACCCACTCCATATCCCACCCAGAATGAATCTGAATAGGACTTTTTGTCCATCTTTGGGCTTTTTTTCCCCCCAAAAGCAATGGAGTTATCTTTCTTAAACATCAGTTAGGTTATGTACTTTCCAAACTTCCACTTGACCTACCCCTGCCCAACTTTCCAACATCACATTCCAGACCCCAACACTTACCATTCTGCTCCAATGAGCCAAGGCGTTCCCTACTACAGGGATTTCTATATGCTACAGGGATTTCTATATTTCGAATTTCTTCTTGCAGAGAATTCTTTCTGACACTATTCAAGTATCTCCATAGGATCCTCTCAGAGAGGCCTTTTCTTTCCACCATATTTATGTGAATTTCCCTTAGGGTGTATCACTGCACAACTGCATTCTTTTAGTTGCACTCATTAAAATTACAATTATATATATGTGCATATAAATATATATTTTAATGCTTTTCTGAATACCTTCTTCACTGGATTATAAGTTTCAGCAGAGTAGGAGCTATATCCTTTTCTTTTTCCAGTGTCAAAGGATATATTCATTTGTATCATAAATACTTGATAATAGTTTCCTACCATGAACATGTCCTACCAATGTGGGCTTCATCTAATTTTTAAAAAATCCACATTTGGAATGGTTTGATGAGGTCTCTGTATGGTCAGAACACAGGTCAGAATTGCAATAAAAAGCAATTAAAGTATTAATAGAAAGTGTTTCTTAAAGTGGCTTAGGCATGTATATAAGTGTACCTGTGTCATACAATGCCCACGGAGGTCAGAAGAGGGAGTCGGATCCTCTGGAACTGGAGTTTTAGATGATTGTTAGCAGCCTTGTGTGCTGGGAGTCAAACCTGCATCCTCTGCAAGAGTAACCAGTGCTCTTAACTGCTGAGCCATTTCTCCATCCCTAGGCATGGTTTTGAAAGGGAAGAACTCATGAGCGGGAAGTTACATACTCCCTTCACCATTGAGGGCAGAATTAAATTAAGATAAGACAACTTTAAGAATCCAAGTGGTGTTAAGATGTTGAGAATTCTTATTTGTTCTGAAAAATGTATATGTGTATTAAGGACAGTGTATTAGCAAATTTCTGTGTTTACACGTGTACATGCATAGACATACATTTTCTTTTCCAGAGCCACCATTGGATAATTGGGTAGAAGATTAAGCATTATCCTCTTAGTGATAGGGGGTGGCTGAAAGGAACTGGAAAGCTCTTCTCTTGGGCTCCTATGCTACAGTCTGCCATTCAGCACCCCAGTTCTCTCCACATGTAATGTAGAGCAAGCTCTCCTAAATACTCAGGCTGTCTGAAGCCTGAAATCCTGCTCATTGGACTGATAGAGAGACACCCCAAAGGACTTTCTAATGGAAAATGAAAAGGTCGGGTCTGTTGCTGGTGAGAAGTGGGAGGCTGACCCCATGGTAGGGCAGCAAGTCAAAGCCAGTGCTTGTCTTTGGAGGTTTGATTTTTCTAGTCATTTTGTGATTCACTTTTTGACTCTAAGAGGGACTTAATGCACATCATATGTTATTTTCTCACATCTTATAAACCCTCCAAATCCTCTATCTGCTACACATGCTTCATCCTGTAAAAAATGGAGTTGTGGGAACTAATCTCTGGGGCAGGAGGGAGATGGGACCTTGCTCATGTGTCTCCTCCACAAAATTTATCACAACAGCAGCAGCTTCCGTGTTTGGGAGGGTATCCTGGAGTCCAGATGCCCAACACGAGAGGAGGTCAGAGTGGGGCTATGATCTGGTGTCAGGTGGGCCAATGCGCAGATTGGAGAAGCTGCAGTTAGATGAGCAGTGGCCTCGAAGAAAGGCCTCTTCTCAAGTACGTGTGAGCCATGCCTACTGGCTCATTGCTGGGGTGGACTTGTGGAGGAGGGAGAGTTCTTACCTTTGTATTTTACAAGCACCCAGATGATGTGAGTCTTCTTTTCAGGGCAATGTGAGGCTTGCTTACTGTCCAGAGGGAATGATCCTTGCAGTAATAAGGAGAGGTTGACATTAGGGTCATACTCAATTGATCTTGCTTCAGAGAAAAATCAGTGGTGTATGCATATAAATATGTCCATATCCACACATGCCATAGAGATACCATACAGATGCAGGCATTTTACATATGGATATTATGGGTGTATACGCTCCCTCGATATACTTAGAAGTCCTAGGTAAAGCATCTTCTGTAGGAAAGAAGGTCGCAGATGAGCTCACTAAAGGAAAACAAACTAGAGAAGAAGCCAGGCTGCCAGTGGACTCCGCCTCTTTATTTATATACCTGTATTCCAATCTCTCCCAACTTTTCAACAAAATGAATTCATCTCAAGTTGTACAATGTTCCTTTGTCCAATTTGTAATGGTGACTCCTATTTTCCATCTCTGAGTGTTGCTCACAGTTACTGCACTTACAGTGGAGAGTTATAGTCATGTGGGGGAGAGGTGAGAGTGCACCTGCAGAGGTGAGTGGGCTCAACTCAAGTGGTTTTGCTGTCAGATATCTTTGAATCTATTCCAGAAGTAAAGGATGTAAAGCTACCTCAGGACAGGTCATTATCAGGTCATACTGTTTGGTAGGGTGTTTCAGTTTTAAAAATCTCTTCTCCCAGTAGCCTCAATAACCAAAATAGCACAAGAATAACAAAAAAGCTAGAAGTGATAGTACAGATGTTTATGTAACCCTCATGGCAATATGAGAATATATATATGTGTCTGTGTGTGATTTATATGCACATATACTCAGGGAATGATAAACCACTTAAAACTGCAGAGTGTTTCCAGTCTAAAGATTTTACTATGTATTGACAGTCAACTCCTGTCATACTTTAGATGGCAGCAGAGCTAAGATTTTCATCTGATTACACAGCTTAGGGCAACAGCTCTGTGCTGGTCTCATAGTGTTTGTAGATGTTATTGATACATAAGTAGCCAAATGTGGCCTGATTTGAATGTGGATTTAAAAGGTCTCTTTTGATTCTCCTTACCATCATTCTAGAATGATGGACAGATCCTGTAAATGTGAACTGCTTCTTCCATTCTTGTTCCTGGGGTGTACTGACTGCACAATCAATCCATGGGGTGCAATGAAGCTTCGCTGATTAAGGGTATTAAATGTTTTGGTTTGGGGATAAGTTGGTTGCCATAGAAAGGCTTATATGCTGGCACGTCAATATTCAGAGGTCACTCAGCACTGTGTTCAGGCTGTAGACCATTTATTTTTTAAAATTACATTTCAAATTCTTATTCTTAAGGAGTTATAGTCTGCTTTGCCTGGTTCCCACCACATTCCATGTTTGTGCTCACAGGTGTGCTTCCATTCATGGATACCCATGGCTACCACAGCAGAGCAACTACCAGCATCATGGAGCTATCTGTAGCTGCCCAACTGGCACATCTGAAGCCTTTAGTATAAACTTGCATCCTCAAACCTTAGTGCAGAGTATTATGTCAACATACAGCAAGTAATTATCAGAGACATGTCACATTCATAGATTACATAGCACATATATACACAATAAAGTCCCTAAGTTTTGCAAGCTAATGTGTATGACTGAATATTTGACACCTTAGAGACGATATTGTTCTGCAGTGAAGCTTTAAAGACAAGTCAAATGAAGGAATACTCACAACTGCTGAGAGTTATTACTGTGCAAAATACAATTCAACGAGTGTTTCTCTATGCTTAATTCCCACTGGATGAAAATGATAGACTTGAAATAAAAACTAATTATGCCTCTTTGGGTACTTTACTTAGTAATAGCATCAGCAATTATCACAAAGAATTCCATAACCAATGAGTATTGCAACTGCAACATGAGTAGCAGAGGAAACCCAGGAGGCAGAAAAGCACTACAAACTGCATCATAACACATATTCCTCTTGCTATAAAACGTTATGAACTTCTCCTGAACTTTTCCATATGACTTCTGTTCATCAATACATGTGATAGTTATTTGTTAAGGTGAAATTAAAGAAAAAACATTTAGCATATTTTAACCTCCATTTGGAAATGTTACTTGTTAAGTCTAAGTTGGCTCTTTTTAAATTTAATGTCTCTGTTTTTTCTTTTAGTTACAGAAAATATCTCTAAATAGTTCAGACTTAAGTTTTCCAGGTTCTGCTGGTTCAGCTGGCATTAAAGTATTACGAGAGCAGCAAAAAACAAGAGACTGTATCCTGAAAGCCTTTCTAAGTTGAGTCCACGGCATTCAGACAAGGGCTGACGAGTCTCTAAGAAGCCAGGTCCAGGTTGACCAAGCAATGTGTAAGGAGTTCTACACCTCAAAGTTTGCATGCATCTCCATTAGCTTCTCCTCTCACAAATGAAAAGCATCCTGAACAGAAAAGAAATCAAAGATGAAGGAGGAAATCAGGTCTACCCAAATGGGTCATTTCTTTCATGAAGCAACACCAAAGCTGGGAGTGCTTGAAATATCCTTCTGCTTCTTCAGGATGAAAGGTTTGAAAACGTTGACCTCTGAGAGGAAATACTACAGACTTCTAAATTGGTGAAAGAACTCCCAGCGTCACTTGGATACTCCGGGTAGGAGGAACTGGAGGAGATGATATTTTTGAGCCTCTGGAGAGCAATGATTAATAGCAAAAGCAGGAAGGCTAGAAGGCTGAGGAATATGGATACATAAATGTAGACATTGGACAGGTGGCCTGAAGATGGGTCCACTGATGTGGACAGCGATGTGGGAAAGAGCTCAAGGAAAGTTCCATTCTCCACGCTTCCCGCGAATCCAGACGAGGGGTCAGCCTCAGACATCTCTATGAGGTGAGGATGAGCAGGTGTATTAACAGCCACAGTTCCACACAGGGCTTAAGCTGGAAGGAACTGGTGTTGCTTTTTCATGATAGCAGCAGCAGAAATCACAGCCTGGAGAATTGGCACAACAAAGAATGTCTTGGTTTTTAAACAAAGGCAGCAGCAGGGGCTCAGGTGTCCACTGAAACTATAGAAACAAAAACAACAAATGCAGCTCAGCGCATTTGTCAGGAGATAAGACATTTAAATCTAATTTTTCGTTTTTATTTCAGTGTGGCTTAATTATGAAACCCACCAGGGAGGGAAAAAATAAAATAATTCCCTAAGAAAAAAATCATGTTTACGTCTTTATATTACAAATGATGCTATAAAATGAGCTTTTATTTTCCTTCCATACTACCATAGGTGCCAGGTTTCCCCAAGGAACTAAAGATAAAGTAAAAAGAAAAACACACATCTGATGTGTCCCATCTGCTGTGATTTTAGCAGATGCTCTAAGTGAGTGTTCTGAGATGAGAACCCCAAACTCAGTTCCCAAGCCCTTCACCAAAATTAATCCTGCACAGACTGCAGTCCACAATCCTCTCTCCTAACCAGCATTTCCCTACAACATGCATTGCAGAATGTTTTTTCCTAATGTTTATTATATGCTGATTTATTGATAGAATTTTATCGTTTTAAGATTAGGGGCCATTTCTTTCTGTTTCTGTTCTTTAAAGGTAATTCATTTTATGTACTTTACATATTGAATAGACAAACTTAAGGTAGCTTAGAAGAGGTTGGATTCATTCTGAATGGCAGAGAGAGTACCAGGTTTGCTGTCAAGAGACTTCAGTTTGAGGCCCGAATTCCCCCATCATCTTTGGGAAGGTGGACACAATTCCTACGTTTCCTGAGTTTTTACTCTTCTCTAGACTGACTTCATATGTACTCTATCACCTCATCATGGAAAATGTGTATGAGTATGTATGTGGGAGGGACGGGGGTGGGAGAAGGAGGGAGGGAGAGAAGGAGGGAGAGAGAGAGGAGAGAGAGAAAGAGCGAGAGAGATTGTAAGGGGCATGGAAGGGGAATGCTTCCTCTTAGGCAGGTGCAAAGAAAGACTTCATTTTGTGAGATAATGCAGCCTGAGGAAAGATCTCTCCAGAAGAAGATCAAGTCTAAAAAGATATCTTTCCTAACTCTTTCTGGGATGAGGTCATTTTTCTGTAAGTTTCTACATCTCACTTCAAACGTGGTGAAGTACTGATAGGGGGTGATGTGTAGTCCCGGCCTTCCCTTCTAAACACTGCTCAGCATTTTATCTGAGAACTTTCCTCTTCTTTCCATTCTCCAAATCTAATTAAGTGGCTGATGCTTTCAGTGGATGACATTTGCTGCTGTGGCCAGAACTGAGCAGCACTAATGATCCCTGGGGGTGGGGGAACTTCAAGAAGGGATGTTCCTGTCGGGTGTCACACCACGTAATAAGTCTCAGTGAGCTCCACAGAGTGGGCTAGGAACAATGTCTTACTAGTTCCCATAATAATTTGATTCTACTTTTCATTCTGCTTTGCTGGGTGATGTTAATTCCATTAGGATGCCGCAGTCTGCTAACAATTCCCCCCAAATAAAAATAACACAGAAGGAATCACAGTGGGAGCGTGAGTGTGCCACAGTGATTTGGCAATGCCTGGCCTTTTCACAGCATGTATGCGTTCCAGCCATTCATTTTGGGGCAGTACAGCAGGGGATCTCAGAGGGAGCATGATGCAAGAAGAGAAAATCAGGTTAGAGGCTTCAGAGGCTCAACCAGAAAAGTATCCCAAGTGTTCTGGCACAACCAAAGTGCAGCTGAAGAAATAGCAGTTGCACAGAAGCTGGTTCTTTTGACGAGAGTAAGATTTCAAGTTAAGCGATAAGCCCTGGCTCTAGGCTCCTGACCAGTCCTGTCCCTCTATCATTTTGGTAGGAACACTGTACGTCCCTTTTCTGGCATGGGCAAAAAAAGTAAGGACTGGACACCTTTTTTGTTCCTCAATACTGTGCAGGGCAGGCAGGGCAGGGATGGCACTCACTTTGCAGATAAGAATTTGAGGCACAAAGACACATATTTGTTCAAGGTACATAGACAGTGACAGAGAAGTTATTCAAACTCAGACTTGAACTTGTGTTCTTGATTTTTCTCAACCATGGAAGGAAGAGTAAAATTCTAAGACTTGGGTAATTAGTTCCTAGCTGCCATTTGTTTTGGACAAGCCCACAGTTGGTGGTTGTTTGGTTTTGAGACAGGGTCTTGTTGCTCAAACTGGTCTTGAACTTTACATCCTCTTGCCTCAGCCTCCTGAGTGCTGGATGCTAGGCCTGTGCCACTTCACTACACTTAACTCTCATTTCCACAATAATCATCTCCCCCCCTGCTCCAGGTGGGCCTGAGTTAAGATGATACTTTTCCCATAACTGTTCTTAGAAAATGATGAAGACCATCCCAGATAAAGCACCAGTGATGCAGAATTCCTTCTCTGTGCATAAAAAGATTAGTGGTGCTTTTGAGGTCTCGGCCAGTCTTTCTGCTCTGACCTGAGAAGGTCACGGAATCAGGCAGAATTGGCTGGTTTTGTTTCTTGAGCCACTTTTTCTGCCACTCTATCATTTTCGAAGGCTGTGGCTGGATGCACAGTGTCACTATAGTACCAATCTGTCAGTGCACAGTTGACAACTGGCTGCAGATGCCGGTATGAAAAAAGTCTCTCCTTTGAAGGTAACTGTCCCGTGGAGACCTTTTCACTTCCTGAAGGTCACATTTTTCACTGGGAAAATTTTTCACACATTTTTCAACGTCTATGGAAAAGTTCCCATAAAACAGCATAAGCAGCTCTGGGCAAAACACTGTGCTCCTAAGTGTCCTTAGAAGAACGGTGGAAAATAAATCAGGGCAACCTGTGTCTTTGTTCTACATTCTACAACAAAATATCTTCTGCATGAAATACCTTCTTCCAACACTGCAAGTTGAATATCATTTCCAGATTGCTTCTTAATATAAAACGACAGTGACCCAAATTTCATTTCATCATTCTACTCTGAAACAACTGAGTATATGCATTGCTGGAAATGAGTTTAATTTGGCAACAATAATTCTCATTTCGTTACTGCAGTTTAAACAACAAGCAGATCCTTTCTCTCTGGTGAATGTTCTATCTGGTGGTGAATGTATTATGCTGGTGATGAATCAAACATGCCCGTATTTAAAGTGTGACAAGCAGCACAGTGGAAATGAAATCCAGGGAGTGTTTCAGGATGGCATTCCTTGGGCTCTTTCTCACAGACAAGTTTTAAAACAAAGAAGAAAGTGACTTCATCTTAAATGCATAGACTTGACCTGTCTTGGAGCAGTGCCAGCAACCTCTCATGTCAGGCAATACTTAAATACACACAAAGACTTTGATTTTATTTTTCTGAGCCACTCTCAGACACTGATTAAAAAAAAACAGGAAAAGAAGACTGGTGTATCATAGCACTCTTAACTGAAGATTTGTGGAATGTTTTAGCTCATGGCCAGCCAGCTCTCCCTTTGTCTCTTAGAATAAAAATCTGTGCTAGCACGACATGGGTGCACTTACCTATATGCAGGAGAAACACGCATACACATAAAATAATAAATAATAAATATTTTTAAAAATCTGTTCTAGGAAGAAACCTACAAAAGGCAGTGACCTACTGACGTGAAGAGGAAGGATGTGTGATCTCTCTCCATTAGCCCAGTGGTCTAGGGAGATGGAGCCACAGCAGAGACAAAGCTGAGTTTGTTCCAACCACTCTGCACTTTGCCACAGGCTGGTCATAGAGAGGGAAACTTTCCTTCCAACAGGGTGGTTATGTACAATGAAGTTTTAATTCTTTCCTTTATGTTTTGAAATAGGGTCTAGCTATATTGCCCAGGCTGGCCTGGAATTTGCAATCCTCCTGCCTCAGCTTCTTGAAACCTGGTGTTCATCTCCATGACCATTGGACTGTGATGTCTGGAAGAATTGAAATGAACTCTAGTGTAGACCTTCAATCCTATACTCCTGAAAAGAAGAGTTGACCAGCCGTCATCTCAGAGTTCTCTTGCATCACAAGATCTATGGAGGAGAGACAGCAAATGAGCAGAGCTATGCCACAGCCCTGTTATCGCCAAGGTAACAGATTATAAAACTCATCTTGCTAGTCAGCCTCCATCATGGAACAGGAATTCTGGCGTCTGAGACCTTCCTGCAAATCCATCTCTATGTGAATAATACAGATTTAAAGTTTTGTCGTTGTACAAAACTTGACAAACTGCTTTGTAGCTCTTTCAGCCATTTCTTAAAAAGCGACCTAGCTATTGTGATCAACAATGTCATATTAACCTTTCGTCCATATTGAGTCTTGCTATGGTATACTCTAAACGGCTACCCTCCCAAGGCGTTAGGAACAGTGTAAAAAAGTTCTAATATAAGTGACATGCTGGTACACTGATGTAAAACGAATTACTGCAATGCAGCTAACATTTTAAGTGATGTTATTTGCTACCTTTCTCTGTAGAACACATAGAAACTATTATTGTCAGGATCTAGAAGGGACCTTTCTACATTTGAGCAAAGCTGTCTTTGGCTTGTTAGAAAATAGGGTGTTTTATATAAGACCTTGCAGCAATGCCTTTATCCTCTTTGTGATGAGCTTCTCTTTAATGCCTTTTCTTTGCCTTGGCTCCTACTAGATGGGAGAAGATTGGTGCTGACAATATGTACTCCCTACCATCCTCTTTAAATGAAAATCTGTACTTGTAGGCAATGGTAAACACAGCCTTAGGCTCAAAGTCATCAAAGTAAAGTTTACTGTCTTATGAGCTATCCTTACTTAAAGTTGAATCAGCCATCCATGTATTTGCCTATTTAAGAAGTGCTCTTACTTATCAAAACACCAAAGAAGTAGAATTATGCATGAACTGCCATCATGATTCATTTGATCAGTCCAATTAAAAATTAAAACCAAGCTAAAGAAATAGCCACATCTGTCTGCTATCTTCCGTTGAGCTAGAGGGTCACCTCAGGAAAAGGTACCATAAATTCTGCACAGTACACAGGACATTCATGAGACTGTACTGGGTAACATAGGAGGGAAAATTAAAATGAACAGTCTTTTTTACCCTCAGTTCAAATGAATGATCAGAAAATATAATCAGAATTT